GACGTTTCTTATATGCTCTTTTTGCCTTATCTCTTTTTTGACCACCAAAAAAATTGACCACCCATCCAATTGCCGGCCTTTGCAATCGTCGCTTAACCTCCTCAATCGCAGATCAAACGAGCTATCCGGCACCATCGAGCTTTTCATTTGTTTATATACGGATATTGCCGTATTTTTTTGTAAAATTCAATATATTTTGATGATATGGTAAGTATGAGCAAATGAATCGTTCCTCGATATTATTGAACAGAAAATCAAAAGCAGATCGAGCGTTCTACCACCTTCATACATTTGAAGTGATACCGCAGACCATGAGATTTGTGACCGATATTGACAGATAGTACAATCTCATGAGCAAACACTTGGGTTTTTCCATACATTTTATAAGTGCATGCGATTCGTGTGATATCGTTCATTCATATCGAATAACATCGCATCTAGCCATGAGAAAAGAACCTTAGGTTACTTTCCATTCGCATAAAGCCGCGGGCACAACTAGTTTAATATAATTCTAATTTACTACTTTTCCAAACAGGAAACAGTCCATGTTTCCTATGGATGACGAAAATATTTCGAAATCGTCGACGAAAAATATGGCACGAATATTTTTTAATTAATATTTATAATTTTATTGATATATTGTCATCGCTATTTATATTATATAGCCTATGATTTGGCTAAACTTGTTTCTTTTAATTTTTGTCCGATCTTAGCAGTCGTGTTTTTAATTTTTAAATAATTTTTATATTTTATTCATTTTAGTGAGCAGTTAATTTTGTATACAGATTATATATTTTTAATGGACCTTTAATTTGATACCCATAAAGTTATGTTTATAAAGTTATGATTATACTTTTTTAAATGGCGTCACACGTCCCCATACCTATTTAATATTAATAATTAAGCTAGTTTCACTGATACTCTATGTATTTTGTGGTAACTTAGGATGATGTTTCTAATGATACCCTGTACATTCATATCCGTTATATCTTTCAAAAGTTATGGTACAATAAAAATACTCACATACATACATTAATTCTAAAAACAATAGACTCCTTTTCGAGAGCAGTCGTTTAAAATATTCGGGAATCGATAATGAATCTCACCATAGAAATACTAAAATAAATACAAAAAATGGGAAAAGTATCAAAATAGCTTGAACGTGGTTTCAACACAGTATTGTGGACTCGTGACCTTGAATAAGTTCTCGAGAACTCAAATCACAGAGTGAAAATTTGTCATATGGCTCTTAATTTGGAATCTGGATCAATGTATGATGTGATGTACGGATAGGTCTGTGACCCCAGCGCGTATAACCAAACAGTCTTTCGGGAATAAGATATATGCGTACGTAATGTTTATTTTCAACGCGATTATAATAATTTGGGCCATTGTTAGTTTTTTCCCTAGCTTAAGAAACAGGCTAGGTTAAGTATGGGGCTCCAATTTTCAGCAATATATGCTTTAGCGATCCATTATGCCTGAAAAGTTGGCTGTCTTACTCTCCAGCCAACCCAACTAGGCGCAGAAGTTATTGGGGGTATTTATAGGCTTAAAAACAGTATATATAATTTATTTTGCGTTTCAGTTCAGAATCCTGAAATGTTCAGTCTAATATCATGATGGTTTGTTGAATACATTGATGTACAATGTCATTTTATTCTCATGTATATACGATAATTGTAAAACGCAATAGGGTGCGGTAGTGAAAATAAGTCAAATCCGAAAAGAAACTGTATAAAAATGTATATTTACATTAATAAACACAAATATCCCGATTTTCTGTCTTCAAAATCTTATTATCTTAAAACTCAAGATTTTATCTGTGTAACGGGACTTGATGACCCCCCCCCATGGTGTGATATTACTCCGTCAACATCTGTCAGATTATTTTTATATCAAAATTCCTAGATGGTGCTGTTAGATTTTAACTTCTATTAAAAACTGAAAACAGTGCTTTGTTCTATGAGTACCTAATCACTCCCTGAGTTTTCGCCTATTTGCATTGCTGTAGCACAAAAGCTGTTAGTTATCTCGATACATAACTTTTTTCTTTTTCAACGAGGAAGTATTTAAAAAAATAAAGAAACTACAAAAATTATGTCACTAGATGGCAGCACAAATTGTTGGATTTTAACGTCAACGTCATGAATGTTAAACCAAAGAGAATAATAGAATTGTCAGTGTTGTTATGGATCTGATAACTCGGATAAATATCGAGTTGAAATTTAATTAGTTCGAGTTATGCAAATAGAACTCCATTAATACAAAGTAATCTTTGAATAAATTTGTTTTTTATTGTATAGGGGAAAATGGAAACTAACATAATGGAAGTGAGCACAGAGGTTTTTTTTAAATTTATGAATTAATGCTGTGATATAATTAAAAGTGGCATTTAGCTACGGTATACAATAATATTACCGCCAAATAGTTTTTATAAATGAAATAATTATGCCATAGTAGGTCTAGGAATTTTTCATTATAATATTTAACAAAAGTTCTGAAAATTTAGTTTAGTTGTTTGTTGAACTTACAACAACAAAACAACATCGAGTCTCAATAATATTTTTATATTATGTATGGTGAATAAATGAATGATAATTTTATTTGTATCAATCAACAATAAGACATGTTACAATATACATATACACATTGAAATAATTAAATTATAAAAACAAAGATATAAAATAAAAGCAAATTTAAAAAAATATTTAAAACATACACAGGGCCACATGTGTGCCGGGACGATGCAAAAAGGAAAAAAGCTCGGCAATTTGTTTACTTGGAAAGCAAACTGCCGATTTTCAGCTTTGACCTAAGTTTGAATTTTGAATTAACCAAAGATATTGTGTAAGATTAATGACTGAAATCATAATTGCATATCATTAAGTCCATATTGAATAAAATAAAATAAAAAATAATAATAAAGAAAAGCGTATAAAATAAATTAATAAATATAAATTTAAATATATTTAAATATAAAATTATTAGCAAATACAAATGAAATTATGATCTAAATGTCCGAAATCCAATCGCAAGTATTTGACATCACCATCAAACAAAAGAACAGCAAACTTCTACTCTAGAAATCAGTTTTATTGAAATATATTATTTATTTAGTAGAGTAGTCATGCTCTCTTAAAATCTCTGCGGTGATGTGTGCGTAAGGTCGTTACATTCCCTCAAATATAGTATAGTTGAGTTATATAGTTGAAATTAAAAAAGTAGCCCTTGCTGAGTCTCTTGCCGATTCTTGTCGGCAAAATATTTTTCGACTTTCACAAGTACTATGAAACAGCCTAGACTGAATTGATTTTGATATTTATACTAATATCATTCGTTTTGTGGATGCATAATGACACGTACAAATACAAGCTGAATTCTGCGATCCGCTTTTTGTTCTTCATTCTAACTACGTATCAACCAAACATCGTTCCTTTACACGTAACATAATAAACAACTTAAACTTACTATTAAAATAAATTAAAATTAATTTGAATATTAGATATTATAAAAAACACAAAACGATGTCATATTTATTAATTTACGATACTCAATTTACTTTCATTACGTCAGAAACAAAATTTGAATGAATATCATAAACAAAATCCTAACATCGCGAGTAACATCTAGTATGATTTCAAGAACTAATTTTAATTTTTTAAATAATTCCTCCTTACTTATGGTTTGTTAGGTAAAATTTTGTGTTTGCGTGATCCAAATATATAATTTTTATTGATATATTTTAATCTGCTACTCTATGCTTCTTTTTTGAGTACATATCAGAATGACGTCATTAATATGGCGGACAGCTTTTTCGTCGGTATAAAAAAGATTAAATTTTGATATATTTTAAGGCAAGTAAATTTTTATGAAATATTAGTTTAATGTTTTTTTTTAATAAAATAAACATCTACAAGTACTTTTTCAAACAAACTAGAATACACTATTGAATAAGTCCTTATCGCCTGACTTAAAAATATAAAACAAATAACCTTGTTATACTGATCATCTACCTATAAAAAGAAATTGCTCTTTAGCGATAAGGTCGCCGATTGTACCACTATACCTGGTAAGTTTTTTTAATTTGTCATGCTAATATGGTGTACAATAAATTTTTCATTTATTCATTAGTCAACATTAGCACAACAGGGATGACGACTGGGTAAAAAAAAAGAAATTCGATTTAGTCCGTTAGTCAGATAATAGAAAAATATTAGATACGTATTTTTTTGCTTCAATTTAAACAAATAACGGCTTAGATAATAGGCATTACAGTTGAGGAGTGGGCTCGCTATGTCACAGTTATGTAGAAAATTTTCAAAATCGTGACGTCATGTGACATTTCAACTATTGCCGTAATTTTTTAATTACGCAAAAAAAAAAACATATTTACTTCAATAAAAATTAGTCGTCTTTCCTATTGGCGTAGGGTAGTTAAGAATACTTATTAGGGGGATGATGGTTAAAATCACGTACCTAATGTTTGGTAGTGTCGATCCCTTTTGGGGATCGAGTCTGTATTGGGAAATGAATTTTTGTAAATTAATTTGTTATGTATTAAATAATGTTATTGATGTCATGTTTATTGCCTTTAATAAAAATGTTCTGTAAAAAGTTCTATTGTGATAATAAAATAAACCATGTGTACTGTGCATTTTGTTTTATTTTATACTTAGAGAAAATGAATCCATACTAGTGAATCTTAAAGATGTACGTTGATTGACTAACAATCTAATGTCATAACTTACCTTAACTGGTTTCCAGCGTCGAAATCGAATAGTGGTACGAAATACATACATTGCTCATACTATACTAACACTGAGATGCGTATGACTTGGTCGCGCAAAACTGATTTACGAGTGCTGTTCTGCTGCAAAGGAGAGTGCCGTCAACGACTTTAAAACGTTAGAAATAAGAGTGAACGGGGTTTCGAAAGAGTCGCAATCAGATTTGTGAATATCATCGGCACAAGATTGGAAAGTGGTAATACTGCGCGCAGTCATTTACGCGGTATAGACCGCAACGCACGGAAAAAATTGTATCTAACGAACTGGCCGGAAAAAAAAATACCTGAATTAAAAACATCTGTCAGAGGATAATCAATTGGACATATTTAACAAGTCAATCTGACGTTCCGTGTGTGCTAAATCCTGAGTGTAATTGTGGTGAATTCCTTTGATATATCAACAGAGTAATACCTGTGCGGTCGCTGAATATTTTTTGAAATACCACCGGTCAGCTAAGCAAGTTTCAGACAAAGGTAAGTTTGCGATAAACTAAGTATTTTTCGCACTTAAATCTAAACTAAGGTTTAACTTGCAAAGGATAAATCTTATAATAATAAAATATATTTGTGGTATTGTTTACATAGATCCACATCGTTAAGTTGACGTAATCTATTTTTATTTAGTTTTTTTATAGTGAAATCTAAATATTTGAACTGTTTAAGATTTGTCAAGGTTCTTAGTACCGAAAGAAAAATGTCTTTTTTACTAAATTATCTACTTAATCACGGTTACATAAGTTCTCTTTTGAGATCTAGGCCACTAGCCATGTGTACGAAACTAGTTTTGAGTTCATATACCTACTTTCTTTTAGTAGGTAGGTTGCTTTGTTTGCCATCTGTATGTAAAGAGGAAAGCAATAATTGTCTTAGATGATGCGTTATTTAGACCATAGCCTACAAACATACTCAGACATGTACTTAATTTAAACAGGATTAAAAATATTAATAACAACGTTAAAAAAAAGAAAAAAAAGAACAGGTGCTTTATATGATGCCGATTTTGTTTGGTCTATTGTGTAACTTTATACCTTTATGAAATTAAAAGTTGATAGTGTTGAGTGAAGTCCGTTATTTTGACTCATCTTAGGTACTGCGTAACTACCCGAAAAAACAGCGAGCAATATTAATTCCAGGCACAAATATTACGTGATAACGCGATAGGTTAAACCGTTAATGAGGTTGTTACGTGCAATTGATTTGAAACACATTTTTTTGTGTAGTGTTGAGGTGTGTCGCAATAGAAAAATATATTTTTCTTACAAATACGTAATGTATGAAAAACATGTGAAACACAACGATGGCGATGAAACACCCCTTTGAAAATAATTAACTGAGTTCTATGGTAAAAAAGCCAGGTACATAGGAATGCATATTTATAAATAGATGAAAGTCAATATCTGTAATAAGATATCTACTAGGTATTCGCTGAATATCATATAATATTTTTTGTAGATCTTTTGTAAGCTTTTATTTTATCTACGCCGGTTTCAAGATGTCGCCATCTCTGAGGTCCCGGAGTTGATTCCCGGTCGCGTCAATGTAGAAATGAACTTCTATATTGTCTCAACTCTGGGTGTTGTAGTACTTTCGTTGTCTCAGATACTCCATAATAAGTGAGCTTTAGCTACTTATCTTCGAATCTGAGCAATGTACGTGAGGTTTTCTAATAAATATTTTTTTTTTATTTATTTATCTTGCAGTCTTATAGTGTGAATGAAATCTTGCAAGCTAATGTTAAATTATACCTCACTCAAATTTTTCGGTTTATACTTATATACTATTTAAGGAGCCTGATGGCGAAGTGGTTAGCGCGCTCGGTCTGTGAAACGGTTGTTAAGCTACCATCGCAATGTCCGGTTATAGGATGGGTGGCCAAATTTAATTATCTGGAGCTCCTCCGTGCTTCGGAAGGCACGTTAAACCGTTGGTCCCGGGTGCATCTGTAGTCCGCACTCCAATCCGCACAGCGCCCACGTGGTGGATCTTGGTCCATTATCCCTATTCGATTCCATACACAGGGAAAGTTGATCTTTAGTATGGATTATATAGGTATACACAACTTTGTACTCATTTAAAGATTGGGGTTGACAAGTACAAAGAATTGAGGTCGATTAAATACGATGTGCAAATTTTTTTTTTAAGAGCTACTTAAGATTCTTGGTGCAGGTAAAGTATTAGTCAGTGATAGTTTTAATGGTTTTTACTATTATCGACAATCATGATAGCGTTATGGTTAGCGCTTTTTGTTTACTGTGTGATTTTAAGGCTAAGTTAAGCAACTTTCCGAAAGGTCGGTTATTAGATAGGCGATCAAAAATTTATGATACGATATGTTTATGATCACGAACTTGTAATGAGAGGAGCTCCTCTACGCTTCAGACACTTCAGAGATACATTAAGCCGTTAGTCCTAGGCCCCAGCCTAGGTAATTGTTTTATTTTAAAATCTACGGCTTCGATTTAACTGAAAGATACAACTATTTGATATGTGCTAGCGGTCAATCACGACGTTAATTCAGTTTTTATAGTTTTTATTATGTTTCTTGATCATCAATACTAGTTTACTTGTGGATGGAGATGCACAGATGACATGGTTGCTTAGGGCGACAATTTATGCTCACTGTGCAGTTAATATGTGATTAAATATTGATATAGGTTTGGGTAATGACGAAAAGAATATTAATATGATGGAAGTACATTTTTTTACCGATAAATAAACCAAGGAATATTTCAATCTTTATAATGAATAACCTTTGTCCATGAGCATAGTTTGCAGAATATATTTTTTGTATTTATTTGCATAATAGAAAATTAATCAGATGGGACCTTTTGCGTCATGGCAATTTATTTAAAGAAGCTATTCTTTTTCTAGTGAACGCATGACTTGTTTTTTGCATGTAAAAGTTGGAAGAGCAAGTTAGTTTTTATTTATCGATGAAATACAGTTATTGATAAGGTCATTGACACGTTGTTCTCAGACTTCATTCTCTATAATTTAATTTTTAGTCTTATGTTTTTTTTTATTCAAAGCTTAATAAAGCCTCCTAAAGAACCTCATTTGGCTAAATGTTTCTATTTATTTACTACTTTTTACAAATTGTGATGATATTTTAACATATCCTAATTACATTTTTTTAAATATAATCATTTTCATGAAAACCTCATAAATAATAAGAGGGAGTTGAAATGGCTCCCAATTCGGCAACACCAGACTTTATACCACCCTCAATTAATGATTCACATGCATCGGAGTAGGTAGACCGGAGTATCTGAAATGCAAAATTGAATACATATTTGGATTTCTCACGGCAAACAAACTCTTTTTTTTTCCAAATTACTGAACTGTTTTTTTTTTTCAAACATTTTATTCTTCAGGTAATACGACTATGGATTACACCACTCTTTATTCAAAAAGCACCAAATTATCTTGCTTTTTACTTTGACATGTCTTTTGGTGGATTATTACTGGATAAAGGACTAAGTTGGTAAAACTGCCGTCAAATACATAATAATCATTCTTTATCATTCGTTCGTTCGTTATAAAAGTACATATCAAAGTAATCAAATGACATATCGCCTACGATGTCATATCGTATGGCTAAATAATAAGGCGGTCGAGCCCGTGATTAGATTTCCATTGACTAAATTTCCCTCTACTTAAAACAAGCTCTGCCTACCTTCTAATAATGTATGTATTCTTAGATAATATTTATTAGCTATTTTCTCGCGACTTCGCTCGCGTAAATTACAGCCTATCTTACCTGCGTATTTTTAAAATCGATAAGTAGCTTTTGAGCCTTTTCAATGCAAATAAACGAACATTCAAATCTGTCCTCTTTATAATATTAGTAGAGATTCTTTTAAAATATTACATTAATAATTGTATAATCAGCATTACCGGTTCATTAAGCACACAGAATGACGTCAAAGACAAGATTTTGATAAAGATCACTCGGAACAAACTAGTATTTTATTTTTATGACAGAAAAATTATTATTTAACCTGTTTGTATTTTTTTAAAGCTGGCCTTAACATGTTTTTGTGTTTTTGTTTCATTAATTGACGTATTTTTATTATTAACTAGTTTTCCGCCTGCGGCTTAGTCCACAAGAAATTTGGTTATTTTATGCGATAAAAACATATATCTTTTCATGATCTTTTCCCAAGGTCCACTTCATCTGTGTATCAAATTTCATTAAAATTGGTTCAGTACTTTATACGTGAAAATGTAACAGACACACAGAGTTACTTTCGCAATTAATATTTAGTTGTATGGATTGTATTTATAAGTATAAATCTAATGTTGAACTGTGCTTTGATACTATAACCGATTTCTAAAATATCTTATCAAAGTGAAACAACTGAAAAAAGAAATAATACTAACAATTTGTTTTTGAGGTCGATGACAGTCATGTTATTAGTAAGAAGACAATCAGCACTATCAGAAAATGTGTCACCATATATGATTTCTTTTTTAAATATCTGTCACCGACCCCAACAAAAAAAATGTATCCACTTCTTATGTTTCGATTTTATTTAAGATATAAACTTCGTAAAATACTTCTAACTCAAAATTACCTTCATCTGAATAAAACTTTTCTGTTACGGGCGCAGTTTTTTTTTTGTTCACCGAATAATTTTTGCACCCGTGTTCAGAAGCCCGAACAGAACAACATACATAACATACACACATATACCTTAAATTGATAACCTCCTTTATTCTGAAGTCGTTTTAAAAAAAGGTACTATTATTAACACTAAAATACTATAAATTGCGAACTAAGTGATGAAGCTTTTCTTTTATTGAGTAAATAAAACTTACAAAATGTTATTTACGACCTTGATATTGAGAGGTGTCCCAACGCAATATCTCTTATTGTGCCTGATAAATATACTTATATTTATTTTTAGTATAAAGTAATACTTTTGGAATTCAATAACTGAAAGGGTGTTTGTTTTTGTTTTTTTTTTTAGTTACATATGATGATGGTATATTTTTCAGGCAAAATTAAATAAGCCTCTGTTTCAACAAACTCTTTTCTTTTTCGTTTATTTTCTTATTTCTAGAACTCCGCACAAAGAAATGAAAACTCCAGAACCATCAGGTAGTTTTAGTATTAGTTTTTTTTAATTTAGAAAAACAGAATATATCTAAATATAAGGATTATATTAGTTTAAACACAGCGTGGTACTCTCCTAAATGTTAAAATCTATGTGTACTACATATGATGTAAACACGACAGATTAAGAATATGATTGCGTGTCGTTTGTCGGTTACGTCACGTTCACGTAACGCCGTCGGTGCGGACACGTAATGTGATATTGGGTAGCACATTTAAAGGCTACTTTTACGATTGTTTGATTTGCATGAGGAAATTTTCTGTTCGCATTATACGGAGCTTAATACTCGATGCAGCATATGTGTCGGAAAATGTGTTGCATCTCATTAGTCATGAAACGTCAGAACTGCCATTT